TTACCTCACACTTGTAAGGGGAACAGTTCAATATTATAATTTGCTTAATAAATGCAATCATGTTTCTAATACGCACCATAATATCATCTGAGTTTTTCTTGAACTGTTAATCCTGAACTGAAAATTGAACAATTTGTATATATTACAAAGCAAAAGTGATTATCCTTTAATTACACAACAAAGGAACAGTTTTTGCTCCAGGGAAATAAACACCACCTCTCTGTGAAGTTCACTAAATCCTACCAGCACCACGTATGTTCAAATATATGACTGCTTTTCAGAATGGAACATTACTTAAAAAAAAAAAAAAGCACCAGGAATGATTTTCAAAATGGAATATTTCCTCATAAAGCATTTTTTTAGCCCTAGATTAATAGTTCCAAGTACTATTCAAGTACAATAGTTCCAAATACTTCCCAGTGACCCCAAAGGATATAGTAATACAACATTTATAAAGCAAGCCATTATCCACCAAAGGAAAGAAATGCAGTTCCCTTTTTCTGGAAGGCCTGTCCCCTAGGGCCCAGCTTGAGTGCAACTCCCACATCAGCCACCACCCCGTCTTCCTGGAGAAAAATAGTAAGATAGTAACAGACACCACTCTTTGGGCACATATTATTTATTCATTTATGCATCAACAAATGATTGTTAGCACCTACTGAGAACCAGGCCATATACTTCATGCTTGGAATTCAGAAATCAGTGAAAGACAGCAGCCTACAGTCTAGTAGGGAAAGACCACAGCAAAGAATGTTTCAGGGTCTTCATCGAGAAAGAGGAACATCAAGGAGTGAGTGATCAGCTTTTCCAGAGGGCATAGACCCTTTCATGAAGGTGGCCCTTGGGCTGAGTTAAAGATGAGTGTTATGTATGGGGAGAGAGGGCAAGGGGGCTTTCAGGAAGCACATTCTGGGCAGGTGGAGCGGCCGAGCACGACCCCAGACGAAAGAAGTAGCTTGGTCTGTTCAGGAAACTACAAGCTGGGCAGTGTGACTTGATTGGCCTTGAATACCAAGCCAGTGTTCGGCCTGCACCGTGAACAGTGATAAGCAGAGCTAGCTTGTAAGGGCTCACAAGACCCAATTATTAAATTTTCAGTAATTTTGTGAACTGGTTGATATCATGTGTGCAGCTTAAAATCTATCATGGTGTTTACACCACAGAAATCATCATACGCTGAAAGTCAGCTCCCTCTTCTCACCCCACACGGGTCCTGGAGAGAGTTGAGAGCTTCCAAAATCTTTTTTCTTTTGTTTCTAACAGAAGAGCGACATTGTGAAAACACTGTTATGACTAATCTGTAAAAAAGGCACAAGACGGTTGAGAGCAGGGAAAGCTAAGAAATCAGTTGGAAGGTCAGAGTTTAGGCAACTGATAAGGGCTTGATAATAGGGATGGAAAGAAATCAGTGTTTTCAAGGGCAGACGGAATTCAGTAACAGATATGGGGCTGGCCAAGGCAGAAGTGGAAATGAGGGGCAAGGATGAGTTAAAGGGTAAGTAATGGCAAATAAAGACATTTTTAAATGAAAGCAGTGCAAATATTTCCTATTAACTGCTAATTCTCTCTTGCCTTTCCCTTCTGACCGTCTTAAATAAACGTCTATGCCCATCACCTACATTTTCTCACCAGAGTTCCTTCTTAAACTCTGAGATATGGCTTCCATTACCCATGTTAATGCTGAAACTTCTTTGTCTCAGAGGTCACTTCTACAGTGGGTAATTGATTATGTAGATATCACAATTCCCACACTAACTCCAAAATTAAAGCACTTCTGATGGAACAACGTAGATTCATAAATACTTCTCATAATGCTGCTTTTCCCGTTAGCACATAAGATTGAGATAAGATGTATAGCCCTATATTACAGGGACAATGTAAAGACTGATATTTAAAAAAGAGATCTTTGAACACCATCAAAAAGAGGATTCACACATGCAAACAATTATTAGGCCTCTTTATAAGACGTCACTTGCGGTATTATACACTAATAAAGATATATTCCAAATGGATAGGCCTCATCTGAAAGATCCTCATCTGAAATTCCCTAAACATTTTATAGATATGAAATTTCTCTGCAAAGCATTTTACAAATGAGGCATAAGAAAGTTACTCTAAGTGATCTTTATCTTTTTTATACTTCGTTCAAATACACGTGACATTTATTTTGTAAATGTGCAGTAAAGGGTTAACTCAGCAGGCTCAGGTTGCTCAAGCCCAGCACATTCCAAAGAAAGGTCTTCAGGAGGACTGGCCCTTGACTGGCTCCTGGGAGATAACCTCTGGGCCTTCGGAAGATCCTAGCTGCTGACTGTTTTAGTACGCTGAGGCCTTGGGCTACACTGTATTAGACTGATGGAGGTAGTTTATGCTAACAATGTGACTTACGGTGAATGCCTGTTTTCATATGCCTGAGGCCCCGGGTCTTGAGGTATCATTTAGATCTCTGGCAGGCTGGAGACTGAGTATCTAAGGTCGGTCACCTGGGCACTGCATGTCTACTTGATTGACCCAGGAAAAACCCTGGACTCCAAAACCTGGGTGAGCCTCCCCGGTTGGCAATACTTTGCCTGTCTTGTGCCAGGTCTCTCCTGGACTTGGCCCATCTGCCTTTTCCCTTTGCTGATTTTAATCTGTATCCTTTCACTGTAACAAACTGTAACTATGAGCAAAACAGCTTTTCTAAGTTCTGCAAGTTTTTCTAGCAACTTATCTGGCCTCAGGGTAGTCTTGGGGACTCCTGACACAGGAAGGCCTGAGGGTAGTCTTGGGGACTCCTGACACAGGAAGGCCTGAGGGTAGTCTTGGGGACACAGGAAGGCTATTTTTTCTCTGTGGATAACCAATGGTGCAAGCACCATTTACTTAAAGTCAATACTTATTGTACTGAGTTGTCTCAAGTGTCCATGCCCATGACAATACCACTCTATTAATACACTGTATTAATTACCATAGTTTTATAATATATTTTGATATGTAATAGAACCTGACCTTCTACCTTCTTATGCTTGGGCCTTTGCTATTCTATATAAAATTCAGAATCTACTTCATAACTTCCAAGAAAAACCATGATGGGTTTTGTTTTGAATTTTAACTGAATCTATAGAATAATTTGGGAAGAATAGTTTTAAGATAGCTATTCTTCTTATTCATAAGTTGGGTTACTCTTTTTTTTTTTAATTTTCTTTCTTTCTTTCTTTTTCCCCAAAGCCCCAGTAGATAGTCGTATGTCATAGCTGCACATCCTTCTAGTTGCTGTATGTGCGACACGGCCTCAGCATGGCCGGAGAAGCGGTGCGTCGGTGCACGCCTGGGATCCGAACCCGGGCCGCCAGCAGCAGAGCACACGCACTTAACCGCTAAGCCACGGGGCCAGCCCTGGGTTACTCTTTTCATTTACTCAGATGTACTGTTTGTCTTTCACTAATGTTTGCAGTTCCCAAGTTCTTGCACATTTTTTTGATAGATTCAGGTATCCCCCACTTTAGGTACCTTGTAGATTGTTGTCATAAAAGAGATTATTTTTATTACATTTTCTAATTGGTTATTACTGTTGTATAGGAATGCTGATTTTGTATATTCATCTTGTGGCCATAACCTTGTTGAACTATTTTACGAAATGGAGATTTTTAAAAATGTAGACAAACACACCATCTCACAATAAAGTTTTATTTTTGTTTCCAGTTTTTATTCATTTTATTTCTTTTATTGAATTGCTAGGATCTCCCACAAAATAGTAGAGGGTACCTTTGTGTTATTCCTAAGGAATGCTTCTAAAATTTCACCATTAAATGTGATAACATGTAATTTTTGACAGGTATTCTTTACGGGTTAGGCAGAATTACCAACAGAACCTGATTTTATTTGGGGGTAGCAACGTGCCCAGCTAAAAACTACATTTCCAGGTTCCCTTTAATAGGAAGCCATGTGACACATTTCTGGCCAATGAGATCTAAGTGGAAATTGTTATGTGGGGCTTCCAGGAAAGCTCCTTAAAGTGGGACAGACCTGTTGCCCTGTTATCCTTTCCACTTCCTCATCCTCCTGCTGGAATTCATGTATAAGGCTGGATGAGGAAAAGCCCGTCTGTGACCATAAGGTGACCATGTGAGGCCAAGAAAATCAGAGACTTTGAACCCATCCTTGAACCACTGAGCCAGTGCTAACCAATGAAATTCATACTTCAAGAGAAAACTAGAAAAAAAAAAAAAAAAGAGAAAACTAGAACTGATTTCTTTTTCTACAAGACTCTGATTTGAGTCTTTCTAACTCACAGCTGAAGTGAAATTCTGAACTAATACAGAAAGTAGGGTGCTACAAGTAACAAAACCTAATATACAGAATTGGCTTAGTGTTGGAGGGAGGGCTTTAGGGAGTGGGGACACAAATGTCACAGGCTGGAAAGTTGGTGACTTGTTTGGCAGTGACAAATTTTGGTCAAATTGTCAACTGCTGTCCTTTGGAAAGCAGACCAAATGCTAATTGAGGCTGTGGCATTAGGGGAAATGTGAAATGTTAGGAGAAAAACTCAAAACGTTGGTGTAGGATGGCTCTTTCTTGCTGTATTCAGCAAAGGCCTAGCAGGGAGAAATGTACTTTTCCTCTATTGAAGCTAGTAGCCTTCAGAGATGGAGGAAAACATCATCTTGCTAAGGAAAGCAGTTTCTGCCATTTTTTTTCTTTTTATTGTGATATAGGTCATATATGAACAACAGTGTAAAAAATATATATGTATGGTTTAAAGAATATTTTAAAAGTGAACATCCATGCAATTACCACCCAAGACAAGAAACAGAACATTGCCAGCATCCCAGCAGCGCCACGTGCCATTCCCCGATCACATTCCCCTACTTCCCCACAGAGGAAATCATTGTTCTAACTTTTGGGACAGTAACATACTTGTATTTCTTTATAATTTGATCTCATATGAATGTATCTTTAAAATAATAGTTTAGTTTTGTTTTGAACTTTATATAAATGGAATCATGCTGATGGCATCCTTATAGGACCTGCTTCTTTTGCTTCACATTATGTTTGGGATATTCATCCACTTTCTGATTAGCTATTTCCTTCATTTTCACCACTGTGTAGAATTCTATTGTTTGACTATACATGAATACACAATGGTAGAATTTAACCTATTACAGCGCTGCTATGAGCATTCTTATATATGCTTCCTGGGGAACATGTCCAATAGTTTTCCCAAGGCATTGTATTAGTCAGGGTTCTGGCAAGCAAAAAATTTGTAATTTGAGATGAGTTTAAGAAAGGGACCATTTACAAAGGTGCAGGCTGGGTGTGGGGAAACCACAGATAGTGCAGCACCCCAGGCTAATACGAGCAATGCTCTGTTGCCACTGCTAGGCTGAAGGGGGGAGGGAAGGAAAGGATCATCAGAACCTGGACAGAGCAGAGAGTGCAGTATGAACATGGCCACCTACAAGAAGTTGTGACCTTTGATCAAGAGAACTACCCAGCTCACAATCATCCTACAAAAGGGTACATGAGGGAATAAACACCCAACCTCATCTTCTTTCCTCCCTCATATCTTCCGCAGGGGCTCCTCCGCTGCTGTGACACCTCGCCAGACATAAAGCAAGGTGCTGACAGGCGAAGAGTGGATCTGGAGGGCAAATGTAAGATAACCAGCTAAGCTGTCTATTCAGGGGTGCAGCTGCTGGGTTGTTGAGTGTGCAACATCTTCAAACTTATAAAAGAAGGGCAAACTTTTCCAAAGTGATTGTTTTCAAAGTAAGAGTTCACATTGCTCGACATCATCACAAAAACTTACTATTATTGGACCCTTTCGTTTTTGTGAATCTGGTAGGGATACCTCTTCGTGGTTTTACTTTTCATTTCCCTATTACTAAATGGCGGAGAATGTTTTCACATTTCTTGGCCATTTGGATTTCTTTTTATGCAAAGTGCCATTTAAAGTCTTTTGTCCAAATTTCTATTGGCTGTCTGTCTTTTTCTTACCGGTTCATAGGAGTCATTTATATATTCTGGATACTAGATTTTTGCCAGTTATATGTGTTGCAAATATGTTCTCCCAGGTGGTTCTGTATATTCTGACCCTCTAAGTAGGTAAGATTATAGGTGCTTATTCTTTGTAGTTTTGCTATATTTTCTAAAAATGCCCAAGGCAAAAGTATAATAAAAAGAAAATGAGTTGGATGTATAAGATAAAATAAATAGGAAAGGATGTGGAGAGAATTCTGGGCAAACAAAATAAGAGTGAAAGCTCTAGAGGTGGGAAAAGAGTGGAAATGTAAGGAAACCATTTCTATTGGCTAAAAAGTTAAACATTTTCAATTTTACTTTAAATTATTATTAAATATTACTAAATGATAACATTCAGTTAAATGGATCTAAAGGAAAATAACTTAGTATTTACTCTAATGTTGAAAACACATACAAATAAACTTGAGGCAAGATAGAAAACAACTAATATGGTGCTTTCTACTTTTCGATACATTAAGTCAGTGTTCCACTGAACTTAATTTTGTACAGAATTTACATAAGTACATCACACAGTCAAGAACCACAGCTCAACACCTTTGTATTTGCCATCGCATATAACATTAGACATAAGCTTGGCATGCTAATAAACATTAAGCCTAATTTTATTTTATTTTATTTACTTATTTTTTTTGTGAGGAAGATCAGCCCTGAGCTAACATCCATGCCAATCCTCCTCTTTTTGCTGAGGAAGACCG